GTCTTTTACAGGGTTTTGTTTGTTTGACACAATATGGTATGAATGCAAACAGCACCAGCTGAAAATGTAAACAAAACTTGTAATTTTGGTCCCCAAATGAATCGAGTCTTCCAGACTATTTGGTGTGAATACGACCTTCAATTACATCAACAAGTGTGTCTCTGCTTAACTCAGATGTTATCAATATACCTATCAGAAGCTTTCAAAACCCTGACATCAAATGTCCTAAATGGTTTAAAGGCATATTAATTTCAGTGCATTTCAAATCTTGACTTTGCAGAAAGTAATAAAAATTGTCTTAAAAGTTTCTCTCTTTATCCTGGTATTTAGCAAATACAAAAAATTTGCAATTTACCTAAATTGAGAAAAGTTTATTCTAATTTCACGTCAAGACAGTGTGAAAAAAAGTATTTTTATATACTGCATGTAAATTTCTGTTTTCAACTGTRTATTATCGATCTAATTGTTTTGGTCCAAAAGAGGCTTCCAGTAGAGTTTTTTTAAATTCAAGCTTAAGCTTAGGCATCTCTAGTGTTGCACAAACTTTAAAAAGTTGGTTTAAGATGTTTAAAATGTTTTAGTGTGACAGGGTTTTTATATAAAACAAGAAAAAAAATACAGGGTAGTAATCTTAGAATCCTGTCACACATTTTAAACAAATTATGCTGACTTGTAAAAATGTCGCACAGGGAACAAACTGACATAGGTGAAAACAGCCCTAAGCCAAACAAAAAAAAAACTCAAAGATTCAGAGGAAAAACAAAAACACAGACATCATAAACTTGATCAAAGAACGGACTTGTTTCTTCAGTGTTGGAACAACATTGTGGTAACCACTCAGCTATTACAAGAACTGGAAACTTAACAGAACAGAAAAAACTGAAAAATACTATTTGACCAAGACTACAGATTACTGAGCTCGGATTAAACTTAAAGGACTTACTTATTAAAATTATTGTAAACAAAACTGGGCACAAATTTTAAAATGCCGGCTTTAGGTTGTAATGATTATTTTTTTGTTTTAGGTAAATAATATTGTTTTTGTAAATTTCTTGGCTCCAGCTATATCCTCATTCCTCACACCTAATATTCAATACCTTCCTCAAACCCAGACACTAGACCATTCTGTTCCCCTCCTAAAGCCACAGTTTTAAGGAAAAGGTTAGACAGTGAATCATTGCAACAATTTCACCAAATTTCAGCTCAATATGTATCAAATATAWAGCTGAAKTGTAGCCATTTGACTTTAGMTTTGGTGGCCATCTTGTTTTTTTATTATTTGAATTTAGAATCTGTTGGACATTGCTCTCAGCTACCACCAAACTAAATTCCAGCTTAATCTTGAGATTCTACTTGAGAAAATGAAAGATGGATGGGATTAAGAATGAGATCTTTACAAGTACATTACAGAAGAACAACTGTGAAAAGATGTTAAATGGCCAGACTGAGATGGTTTGGACAGAGAAGGYACAGTTACTATATTGTTTTATGGATGTTAATAATGCAGCTGCCAGTAAAAGGACAAAAAAGGTGACAGAGGACAWWTGGAGCAAAYTATTTCTAGAGACCTGGATCTATTTAGGTTATTAGGGTTACACATACTCCTCATGATACAACTCTGTGGTTCACAAGTTGACAGGGTTCTGGGGACGATATGGGCCATGGTTGACATGAATAAATGAGCTTGGGCCCCATTCATAACTGCTTTGAAGTTCTAGGTTACATTTGAATTTACATTTTTTGTAAAGTTCCAAACGTTTGTTTTTAAATCTTTGCAAGTGTTTTTCAAAACTTCCTCATTCTGCAGCCAAATGTTAACATTAAACATGTCTTTTAACCATCTCAATAATGTTCTTATTCAACAATACCATTTTGTAATAATCAGCATGTCTTACTCACCTGAAGCTGCATGACCACGTAGTTAAATTTGTCATTTCTGCCACAGCCAATAAACTTACAGACGTGGTTTTTACCTAAGAAAGAAAATACAGAAAAAAGCAAGGTATTTCATACACAGACACTGACAAATTAAACAGCATAACTTGAAATAATCTTTTATATTTATTTATTTATTTATTTATTTATTTTATTTTACAGTTATTTAAGCAAATCCCGTTGAGACTGCAGATCTCTTTTTCAAGGGAGGCCTGGGCCTGAAGTCAACCTATTGTACATGTTTTTTTTGGGGAAACCGGAGTACCCAGAGAAAACCCACACAAGCACAAGGAGAACACACATCTCCTCACAGAAAGACCCCAGGTCTGAACCGGGGATCGAACCCTGGACCTTCTTGCTGTGAGGCGTCAGTGCTGACCACTGAGCGTGCTGACCAAGTCTTACCCAAGTTTTACTGTTTAAAAATAAATTATCTCAAAAGATCTTTATTGTTGTAGTCTGATAAACACAATAAAAGGCAGGCAGGTTGAGAATGTTGAGTCATTCTTATTAAAGAAGAAAGTAACTGCTGACAGTGTCATGTCAGTGAAATCTCAGCAGAAATCTTTAGAAAAGTGTCAGATAATGTGAAACCTTAAGCAGAAGAAAAAACACTGGTTTTTATCTCACATGAGCCACAGGTAAACTTGAAGTCTGCACCACTGTTTTTATTCATAAAGTTCCTGTAGATATTTCAACAAATGTAAACYTGAAACAGAAAAGCTTTAGGGCTTTGTTTTGCACATTTTTAATTGAGCCATAAACCATTCAGAAAGTGTCAGAGAAACCAGCAGCCACACTCAGACAGCCTTTCTGCTGAAAGAAGGATCCATCAAAATAAGAGCTCGTCAGAATGAGTTCTGTTGTGATTCCTGTAAATGTGATTCAGAARCAGTAGACTGAATCCTCAGATTCAWAAAAGCTGATAAAATAARTCTGGAACCTTTAAGAAAACATGATGTAAAATAAAACTGCTCAGTCACTTGGGTTTAAATGATTCACACTGAGTGAGGCGAGACTGAAACCTCAGCAGGTCAAATTTATTAAGTCTAAAGAGGCGGAGAAGTAACTGCTGGAGTGTGTTGGTCAACAACTGGAATCAAACCAGCCTATCCCACGCTGTGCAACACACACACACACACACACACACACACACACACAC